AAAAATAAATTATGAACTATGTCTTATGTCTAAGTATAATGTTATAACGGTGATCTTGACCTTTGACATCTGAAAGTAAACAGTATGTTTAATGATCTAGAAGCTAGTTTATATATATATATATATATATATTGCTTTCTATCACTGTAATACTACGATCGTGACATTTTGAACTCTACAATATCCTGTCTCCCATACGTGTTGTGTCAATCAATGCGTTGAAGTTCGGTAAGTCCTTAACCTTAAGTATATATCAACATTAAAAACATGGTAGGCACGCAAACTTCTAAGTCACAAAAGTGATTAGGTAACACTTGTATCTATTCCTAAATATTGAAAAAAATATTAATATTCTCTCCAAATCAAAGCAAGCTGCCTACATAGAGCAAAACTCAAAAATCAATCAAACAGTTATGGTTTAAACACCGAAAGCTAGCGAACCATTAGGTCTAATGTTTTTGACAGAAATAACGTAAACCGCAGATGTGTCTTCCCCCCCCCTCATTTCTCGTAATTTCTCCATTTCTGATCCAAAATCTGAGGCGTTTAAAAATAGCGTTTAAGACCTATTTTTTATCTTTCACAAGTCGCTGCCAAAGAGATATTTCGTTCAACAACGATGCTGTATGATGATTTAAAAGTTAAAATTTAAACGTCACAAACTGGCGAAGCATTATAAGCTAACAAGTCTAAAATTTGTGATCTATATCACGTAAACCACAGATGTTTTTGTTGTTGTTGTTGTTGTTGATTTCGGATTCAAAATCAAAGGCGTGTAAAAGTAGCATGTTAGATCTATATTTTGTCTCCTACGAAACATTGCTTAAGAGTCCTTTTGTCAATACTTTAAACGCCAAAGTACTAGATGCATTAAACTATTAAAGCCTAACTGACGAGTTCTGGCATTTAATGAAAGGACTGTCGGGCAGTGACTTGTGGTAAAAAAGACAAAAGATAGATCTTAAATCTTTTTAAATGCCTCCAATTTTGAATCTGAAATAGACGAATTAAGAGGAATGTGAAAAAAAAGTGCTGTTTACGTGATTTCCATTACAAATTTTAGGCCTGTTGTGTGTAAAAACATTAACTCAGTGATGGATGTATCTAATTCAATATACCGTTCTTCCTTATAAAGATTACAATACATTGTTTCATCCTAGTTGTTAGCAAATTTTCAGCAGTAATTAAGTGGTTAAAGCATAAAATTTAATAAAATCAATAAATATAAAAAACATCCTAACACAGTTCTAAAAGAAAACTAAATGATTGAAGAAAATATAAATAGTGGTAACGAGATGTCATAATCTAATACACCACAAATGATGGATAATCTTTAAACATTTGGAAGTTTATATGCAGAAATCCGTGTAACCATAAATTCTTCTAAAACGTTCCTCTAGTAGTTTACAAGGCCCTGGACCATGAATAATGTATGCCGTTTCAAACTCGAGCACAAACTTAATCTTTATAATGTGTATGATGTTATTTATATCAATGAAACATAAGCTGGGGAGAGAGATGTAGGAGAAAGGCAATATTTATGGAAATGGGAATAAGAAATATCATATTAAAATGGGCAACAAGTAAGATGCAGCTATCATTTTCAGTTATATGTAAGTATTCACATGAGATTTGAAAAGGCGTAGTAAAATTTGCTTATTTAGGATCACCAGAGATTATGTTACATTCAGCTTTAAATCAGAAATTTTCCATGTGATGTAATCATGTAAACAATTTTCGTGTAAATTATAATTTGAAAGATGCCAAATTGTTTTCTTTTAGAAACGTCATAATTACAGAGCCCGTCTCACGAGACGAGACTTGGCGAGAAGTAAATCGGTGTCGGACTTTAATTAGCAGTTTTTTTTTTATTATGTTCACGTATTCCTGCACAGCTTAAAGAGTTCAATGAAATAAATGTAACCTATTTAATTTTACTAATATGTAAATATGAGCAACTTTAATATCTATGCAATTGACTAGAAATACCCGAATACAGAAACGAATCACCTGCGGGAATTGGCGATATGACGCCGTCCTTTGCAGGACTTTAGTTTTTAGAACTGAGACAATCTTTAGAAGTATATTATTACTCTTGCCTTTCCAGTCCAAGGTTATTATATTACTAGGAGTTTATCGCAATTTATGGCAAAGTTATTTAGGCTATGTGCTGCCATCTCTAATTTTTAACTGATAACCAGGGGAAAGGCAGCCAGTCAGCAGCACCTTATACCACCCACCATCCACGTTAATTGATTGATTGTCACTCTTATAACGCATCCACAGCTTAAAGTACGGGAAACGTTTTATGGTACCGCACGGACTGGAACCCGGTGCGCCAGCTCCGAAATCCAGAGCTCTACGACATGGCCAACCCGAGCACACGAAGAAAGGACAAACTTAAACCAACAACATATCTCAGGCTTGTTTGCTGTATGTCTTGAGGATCAAAACTTAAGACTTGTATATCACGTTATTAGGCTCTAAAACAGAAAAAAAAAAGACGAACATATACATCCGTTACTTTCACCTTTCCTTGCAAATAAGACATGTCGATGTTATCAATATGTGAAGATGACGCGTTAAGAGGTATCTACGTGGCAGGCTGCAGGTGTCTGTTCTTCAATATGGAGTCCAGAAAATATTTGACGGGCACACAAGAGAGCGATTATTTTATGTTCATACATATGAACATGCACGTGTTAAGCTTTAATGCCACTTTGTTTACACTAGTTCAGAATCTCGCGCTAACATTCAGTCATCAATAAGGGTTACAGATACCCTTATTCAACAATTTAATGTTAGAGATAAAACTACACCTTACACCAACCACTCAGTGGTGTTGTATTGTACAGGTCAAACAGAATCTGTGATTCTGACCTCTAATGATACCAGTTAAACATTCAAAAGTCTGAAACTTTGACCTAAATAAATGTTAATTATAAATCAAGCAAATCCTATAAGTTTTACCTCAATGTAACACCATGTAAACTTACTTTAAGCAATGTTGTGCAAATACTATTAACTTGATTTCTTGACCCCAAGTCGTCATGTAAACTAAACAAATGTTACAACATTGTTTTCAAGTAACGACTTGTAAACCTGGAAAAGCTTGTGATCTTTACCTTAACTTATGCTAGTAAAATAAAGCTAGCCTAAGACATGCTCTGGACATGAACAAAAAATATACATTTCTTTTTAATCTCATTTCTTTACTCAGTATCACAAGAGGTATCACACTATACATTATGAAACGCTTATGATACAACTTATAAACAGTGCGTAATGGAATTTGAGTCAAATACTACACCAATGTTTGAAAAAACTCACATACATTAAACGCTACAATTCACAATGAACAGCTAACCAAAAGAAAGCAGGTTTATGAGTATTAAAACTTCGTTTTGGAAGAGAGGGGGGAGGGGGGGAGAATACACATTTTCTATTAGTATTAAAACTACTGTGTTCGAGTACATCTTGACAAACATCGACATGTTGGTTGGGGGGGGGAGAATACACATTTCTATCAGTATTAAAACTACTGTGTTCGAGTACATCTTGACAAACATCGACATGTTGGTTGGGGGGGGAGGAGAATACACATTTTCTATTAGTATTAAAACTACTGTGTTCGAGTACATCTTGACAAACATCGACATGTTGGTTGGGGGGGAGAGAATACACACTTTCTATTAGTATTAAAACTACTGTGTTCGAGTACATCTTGACAAACATCGACATGTTGGTTTGGAGAGAATACACATTTTCTATTAGTATTAAAACTACTGTGTTCGAGTACATCTTGACAGACATCGACATGTTGGTTGCCAACGAAGAAAAAGAAAAAAATAGAACATCAGTTGATATACTTAATAATATATTCGAAGGCACAACAACGGACAATGGGATTTGAAGAAGGAAAACGCCTGCACCGTGACAGTGTAACTGACAGTATCGACGCTTCACTACATTTACGAAAAAGCACACGTGTTGTTAGTGAATACGTATATATGTAGACGTAGCTGAGAACAGTTGTAAGGAGACAAAAAAGGGCATCTGATGTGAACCGAATGATAAATACATGTATATATATTGCCCAAAACCCAACTGATAAAAGTTTAAAAGATTCTTTAAATACTAGTATGGTCGGTGAAAGAGCTACCTCTGGTAAGTTGCCCAGGGACCACCCCCGTCAGAGGCCCACAGCGCATAACGAGTATAATGATAAACCATTTTTAAACATATTTTTCCGTTTATATTTCCATAATCTTTTTATCACTAATAAATTTTGCTTATCAGATTGTATAGTATTTTCATAAAAAGCAATGGGCGACACGCTAGTTTATACTTTGCCGAAGTCCCACCAGTGCCTCAAAGCGGCGCTGGCCACAGTTACAATAGTCACGAATCTTCTCAAGTTAATTGCTATTTTAAAATGCTCGAAACGTATTTGTTATACTGATATATATATATATAAATTTCGGTTTCGTATCTGTCCCGAAACATTCAGCACAAGTATGATAAATCAATCTGGTCTAAAGTAGATATACCACTAAACCAATACTGAAAATCAACACGTTAAAACATTATTTTAGAATTTCTAGTACCTCCACATGGTAACCCCATCAACTTTTACGATCGGAGACAGAAACAAAATAACTACTGAAATATTGGTTCGCCACACCTTTAAGCATGTGCCACATACATTTTTCTTCCCGCCCAGTCAGTTGACATACGGTATTTTCTCAATCTATTTGATCCAATACAGGTAAAACGAACAATGGTTAAGTGTATCAAAACGCCGAGTGCTGACAGAAAGCAAGTTTTTCGATTAAAATCATACGTTAAAAACTAAATGTGATCCAACTAGCAATTAATAATCAAACTTAGAAATCAATTGTTACTATCTTTTTTTGTTATTAAACGGTATGTGGTCTACAAAAAAGTAGAAATAAGAGACAATAAATGACGTTTGAAATATAAAAAAAAGGTCAACTTACTTGTTTGTGCATTTCCACATTCAACCCGTAGGACATTTCGTAATACTGCAAACAAAAAAAGTTTGTTTAAACCACAAAAACACACAGAAGTTAAAGAAGTTGATATTTTTCTTCGTTTACTTATGATATTCTTGTTCATTGGTATTTAATGTCTATCTGATTTGTTGTAAATCAACATTAAATACTGCCTAGTTCAAGGGTTCCCAAACCAGGGGTGCGAAATGAGGGTCCAGGTGGGGTGGGGTGGAAGAGGATTATACAAAATCCCCCACAAATGTTGCCAAGAAGAAATGTCCAACTCACACTTTTTATGGGAGGGGTGAGAGGGTCACAAAAGGTTGGGAACCTCTGGCCTAGTTGTTGTGTGGCAAATCAACGGTAGTTAGCGTTTAGCTAATGTCTACTGAATTAGCAATGTTAACCTGAAATAGACTCTTTTCTAAACGAAAAGGAAAAAAGCTCATAAAAGCCACAACGGTAGTTTGGCTTCAACTAATTAATAAAAAGACTTGAATTTATTTCGTGTTTTGGGTTTTTATTAACGACATCTAATTGTACTAAAATCATAAAAATAAAAAACTAATATCTACTTAATTAAAGAACACAAAAGAAGTAGTATCACAATTCTTTAAAGAACACGTATAACCTGGATACCAGTTTTTAATTAAACAAGGTTATATCTCATTACCTAGATACCAGTTTTTAATTAAACAAGGTTATATCTCATTACCCAGATACCAGTTTTTAATTAAACAAGGTTATATCTCATTACCTAGATACCAGTTTTTAATTAAACAAGGTTATATCTCATTACCCAGATACCAGTTTTTAATTAAACAAGGTTATATCTCATTACCCAGATACCAGTTTTTAATTAAACAAGGTTATATCTCATTACCCAGATACCAGTTTTTAATTAAACAAGGTTATATCTCATTACCCAGATACCAGTTTTTAATTAAACAAGGTTATATATCTCATTACCCAGATACCAGTTTTTAATTAAACAAGGTTATATTCTCATTACCTAGATACCAGTTTTTAATTAAACAAGGTTATATCTCATTACCAGATACCAGTTTTTAATTAAACAAGGTTATATCTCATTACCCAGATACCAGTTTTTAATTAAACAAGGTTATATCTCATTACCCAGATACCAGTTTTTAATTAAACAAGGTTATATCTCATTACCCAGATACCAGTTTTTAATTAAACAAGGTTATATCTCATTACACGTGTAGCTGAAACTGCAGCATTCGACAGTCTCATAAATCAGTAAAAATACTTTTATTACCGACAATAACCTACCTTCTCAAGTAAAAATAATGAAATCAATTTAAAAGTTTGATATTATCTTTAACATAATTATCCCAAAATATCCTTACCTTACTCTATGTATTATTTTCATAGTACCATTTTACCATTATCTTAGGAAAACAGAAACGCCAAAATGTTTGGTCCTTAGGGGGAAAAAAAATGTTTACGATATCTTTTTAAAACAAAATATTGAATTTGAAAGCGTTATTCAATTCAAACGCTATTTTTTGATGAAGTAAATTATAAAAGGAATTTTCAATTTAATTGTTTGCGTGTTTGTGGTTGAACATAGAGTTGCACAATGCCGGATCTACCGCATGCAGCAGGGATCGAACCCCGAATTTAGACTTATAAATCCTCGAGTGTACCAGTTAGTTACGGGGATATGTTATTCATTTTTGTCTAGTCAAATAAACAAAACTGTAAAATAAATACAATTATAAATGAAATAATAAATTCATTTATACACGTTCTCATTTAACCTTTTTTTCTTTGGCGTTGCTGTATTGTTATTAATTAAGCAATAGGTCCACTAGTTTCAGAAGGTAAGATAGCTTTTTTCCGTTTCCATGTGCTACCAGTTTATTTTCGAAAACATAATATGATTGATTAAGAGTTACTTTTTATTACTAATCTTTTATCACAAGCAAGCATTTAGGGGAAGGTCTGTATAATTGAGTGGATAAATATCAAGTCTTCAACTGCATTGTGTTCAGAGATAATGAATCGGTTGATGGAAATGTCCAATGCTTTTCATAATGAATAAAAACACGAACTTTTATTCAAAATAGAGTGCCACAGCTTAATTTGTCTATTTCACTAAGACAGGATCTCGTGAGAAACGCCTTAATGTTTGAAAAACAAAAGATGAAGCTCTTTTATGCTATTGAATGAAAAAAAAATATAGTTAATTAAAAAAAATCAATAGTGTAGATTTTTTAAGTAAGTTACAAAAATAACGAATGTACTAAACGTAATACGTAAATCAGCTTACCATGACATAATGTCTTTGCATCTCCGTTTTTTCGCTGGCTAACTTCTCCAGTTCTAACTTCAAACTAAAACATGATTGAAAAAAAATGTTAGTTAGGCCTCGTGGTTCGTTTAAAAAAAAAACAGTTAGTCCAATATTTTACAGTAGAAATATTATATACCCTAATGTTAATCCTTTTTACTAAATACTTGTTGGCGTACCCGTTCAGCACACGGAATGGAGAAGACACATGTGGGGGGCAGGTTTGTTGACAATCAGTTTAGCGTTTCGCCACTTATAAGAGGTTAAACACCCGCAGATTTTGTCAAATAATGATTTATATATGCCTATGCATCTATGATCTGTCTCAGTATATCAACTGGGTGAATGGTTTACCCAGGAGTAATGAGATCAGAATCACGGTGAATGATTCACCTAGGGGTAATGAGATCAGAATCACGGTGAACGAGAATGATGGGATGTACGAGTATTAACAATTATACAATAATTTCAAGAGCAAAAAGTTATTAGTTATTATTATTATTTATTCTAGTTGTATGTCCCGTCAAAAATGATGGAGCAAGTACTACCACCCCACCCCATAATAGACCCTAACCTCACATTTTATAGCTAACTGAAAGAAAGAAATTTTGTGAAATCAAGCTTGACCAACAAAATGTCAGAAAAGTGCAGTCGAAACTGTCAAACGCCGGTAGATTCCTTTGTGAGCTAATTAAAATTAAGATCTTTCATGAAATGAATTCGTAGTGTATTCATAGAGTAATTATTGACAAAAAAATCAGTTAGATTAACAACTTCTAATATATAGAAAAGCCAGTGCATTTTGGCAACACTACGTTCCAGCAATGGCTTTTATGTCATGTCGCTTAGCAACAAAAGTATAACATAAAATGTATAGATAACAAAATTGGGAAAATATTTGTTGATTTCTTAATTTAGAGTATCTTTTGATTAAAGAGGTTAATTTTTATGTTAAAAACGTTGGTGATATAACAAAAAATTGCTTAATTCAGAAACTATTTAACTAAATCGGTATTTTTACTTTCATGATAAATTTCATGCACTTTGCTCTAGGCTAGGTCATCCCACACTACGTCTTTACTTTAGGCTTATTATACCAACATTCACTACACTTAATAAGGTTTCACGGGACAAACACCCTCACGGCCCCCTTGCACCCCCGTGACTGAAATCGTAATGGGCAGACAGTAATCGAACTGTTCTATCTGGATAAATGCATTTTGGCTTTTATAACTCCTCCTATTTCGAGAAATCAAGCGTGACTTGACGGACACTGGCTTTAATATAGGTTATATACATATATATATATATATATATATATATATATATATACTATAGTAGACGTAGTAACGTAAATAATATCTTATTACGTAAAAGAAAAAAG